ATCATTTTCTGCGGTCCACCCTCTCTGGTGCACCTGGTGCTGGCCACTGTCGGTAGACAGGATACTGGGCTAGATGGACCTTTGGTCTGACCCAGTACGGCCGTTCTTATGTTCTTATGATTGTTGATAGTAAAAGGAGGGTAGGAGACAAAATTCCCACATGGAGGGGGAAGGGTTTTATTTCTGAAACTGGGAGTTTGTCACGACTTTTGTCACAGAGCAATGTGGTTGCTCTCCAGGTTTTGTCACCAAAAAGGGTTTTTTGGGGACAAAACTTGCCCATGTAGACAAGCCCTAAGACTTATACCAAACTGAACCCTGTGCACAGCGCTATATCGCAGCAAACATACATTTCTTATCACCTGTCAAATATTTTTCCCCATACATATTATTTATAGTGTCAAAACTATGAAGCCAAGGGCAGGCATCTCACTTTATTTCTTACCCTAGAGAAGAAAGAAAAACGGTCCCATCATCAGGAGTTACTAGGGAAAGCATAAACGGTACTTGGATCTCAGGTAGCAAAGCCTCTTCAGTTGTGCTGAAGCAGCGACTTCCCAACCGCTTCATTTCTGGCTGAAAGGAAGGAGAGAGAAAATTTTCCTTCTCCGCTGGATTAAAACGTGCCTCAAGATTGTTCGCAGCTGACTGCTGATGACATCACTACTTGCTTAGGCCTGATGTCACAATGGGGTTCCAACATCTGAAATAACCCTCCGATTAGAAAGGGAAATCCCATCCTCCCCCAGAAATTATACACATATACATCCTCCCCTACCCATACATCTTTACACAAAATCTGAAGATAGCTTCTAAAGCATGTCTGTGGTGGATGGGAGAGTCCTTTAAAATGACTGAAGATACAGACCTGAAGTTTCAAGTGATAGAAGATAATCTAGTCCTTCTTGATTAAGAACTGCTAATCAGTTCCCATGCATGGTTTTGCCACAGACTTGATTCGATAGTGTGAGCCTATCATTCCAGCCATGAAGTGTATAGTGGTATAAATATCAGATCTAGTAGTATTAGCACCTTTCCCATAGTCTTTCACACTAGAACATCTAACAGTTAGGCTGTGTCTAGACTGGCCAGTTTTTCCGGAAAATCAGCCGCTTTTCTGGAAAAAGTTGCCAGCTGTCTACACTGGCCGCTTGAATTTCCGCCAAAGCACTGACTTCCTACTGTAAGAAATCAGTGCTTTTTGCGGAAATACTATGCTGTTCCTGTTTGGGCAAAAGGGCCAGTGTAGACAGCTGAGATTTGTTTTCCGCAAAAAAGCCCTGATCGCAAAAATGGCGATCGGGGCTTTTTTGCGGAAAAGCACGTCTAGATTGGCCAAGGACGCTTTTCCGCAAAAAGTGCTTTTGCGGAAAAGTGTCTGTGCCAATCTAGATACTCTTTGCCAAAAATGCTTTTAACTGAAAACTTTTCTGTTAACTTGTGATATCTTGTTTCACAGTGTTTGAAGAAATCTTTCAACAATGCACCAAAAGCAATATGAGAAGTCAGTTGCCAAAGGCATGTCTATACTTAAAATGCAGCAGCTGTGCCACTGCAGCACTTCAGTAAAGATGCTACTACCTACTCCAAGGTGTCGCTGGTAATTGCTTGATAATTACCTGTTCGGTTCACTCCCTCTGGGGCAGCTGGCAGGGGCCACTGTCGGCAGACAGGATACTGGGCTGGATGGACCTTTGGTTTGACCTAGTATGGCCGTTCTTAAGTACTCCACCGGCCCAAAAAATAGCAGCTAGGTCAGTGGCAGAATTTTCCCATCAGCCTAGCGCTGTCTATGCCAGCAGTTATGTTGGTTTCAGTGCATGGTCAGGGGGGCAGATTTTTCACACCCGAGTGACATAGTTACATTGCTCTAATTTCAAAGTGTAGACCATGCTTAAGGCTCAGGAAGGATGGAAAGAGGGACAGAGAAAAAGCTACAGTTTAATCTTGATGGACAGCTCTGAAAACAGAGCATTCTACCCAATCAAGTTTGAAGGATGGAGATAAGCTAGGAATAGGCATTAAAAGTTCAAACCGATTTAATGCCTGTGTAAAAATCATGCTCATGACTTTTAAGCTATTCCTTCTTAAAACTTGCCTAACTCTAGATTGACCAGTTTTTTAAAGGGACTCTCCCATATTTAAGCCTTCCTGCAGGTGTCCCAACTTTTCCATTAAAACAGGCAACTTGTCCTGTATTTTCTGTCTGCCCCCATCAGTACTGGCAGGTCCTTCTTCTCGCCAGACCCTGTTTGCCAGTTGCCCACCCACCAGATGTGAGATGGGGTGGGAAGGGGCCCAGTGGCCAATGATGGCGGGGTATGTACAAAGCTGATGGCAGGGCAAAGCTGCACCACACGGGATCAGATGATCTCCCTGCTGGTCCAGCAGTGCTGCCCCTGCTATGTGTCAGCTCTCAGCCAGTACGGCCCCACCCTCTGTCCCATTTCCAGCTGGTACTGAGCGCACTCTGCCAGGCAGTGACCAATTACTTGTTGCCTCCATTGCCCACCCACTGATCTTTTATGTGCTTCCTCTCTCACTGTCCTTTCTCTGCTATGCCCTCCAGCCCCGCTGCTCCTCCACGTCCCCCCTTGCAGGGCACAACCCCTCCCAGCACTGTGTAGAGAACCAGCCCCTGGACGGAGCACTCAGCTCAGCAACAGCCTAGCCAGCGGGCTCCTTCCTTCCCCCACTCCCTCTGGCTGGGCTGGCACCGGGTGCTGGCCAGGGGATGCTGAGCCCTGCATGAACCAAAGCCCCAGACGGCACTGGCAACATGGAAGCTTCTCTGCCCCTCAGCTAAGCTCTGGAGTGACAGGGAGGGGGGGGATCAATTTCCAACTTGTTTGTGCCCCAATCCTGAAAGCTTCCCAGCAGCCCCCTTGGCAGGGGCTTAGCACCTTTTCACCTGCTGCCAGGGAGCACAGAGCTGCTTCATCCCTTAGGCAACCTCCCCCCACAGCCTCCACTGAGCCACCTGTCTGGCTGGATTCCCTGAAGCACCTATAGTCAGGTTGCCAGGAACCTGGTGCACCATGTAGCCTTAGGACTTAACCCTTTCCTGCCTATGCTCTAACCGGGGACAGCGGCCAGCCCCAACCTGGAGGTGTTTGCTGCCTTTCAACACTGCGTGAAAGGAAGGGACAAGCTGCTTCCAGCCACAAGAGAGCAGGGGAGGGGAAGAGATGAGCACTGCAAAGATATGAGCTAGGTCATGCCTTCCCCCTCTCCTCCCCGGCAGCTGGGAGCAGCTGCCGTCCCTTCCCTCCCGCACAGTACTGAAATGCTGCTGCAGGCCACAATCTGGTGTGAATCCCAGCAGAAGTTGGGGGAGGGGATGTGACCCTACATGTGTTGCCTTAGGAAGACATGGCTCCAGGTACCAGACAAGTGGGTTCATCCTGGGGGCCCAGTCAGGCGTAGAGAGTGGAGAGCACCAGGCAGCGAGGGTCAGGAAGGTTGATTACTCGCCCATGTGAGAGGGGTGTATGGAGGGGTAGCATCCATCTCCCTGTGTGAACCCTAAAGCAGAAGGTAAAGAAACTCAGCTACACAGTATTTATTTTTAACAGAGGCTTGCTCGACTTGATGTTAATTTGAACATTTGTATTTCACAGTTTGCATTGATTGCTATCAAATGGAGTTGAATATAAGTAATTTTACCAGATGTTCTATATCCAAGATAGCAAAATATGGTCACCCTACCTAACCCATATTCTCCCAGTAAGGAAAAGTCACCCTAAAGTTTTGCTAACAAATCCTTTTATCTTGCCACTAACTTTTATCAGACATAAATTAGACAAGCACCCACATTACAGACCCACAGTTCACATGCAAGGGGTTGGTTTCTTGATTCCATTAGAGTAGGCCTTCCACACTATCCCCTGGGATATTAACTTAGTTGTTGAGAGGAGCCAAACCAAAGATTGATTGATCTGAAACTGGAATTTTCCTTGATTTTTCTAAAACGGGCACCTGGAGGGCAGGGAATGAAGCCACATTTTTGTTCCTTTGGAGAGTACTACGGAGAAAAAGGAAATCTATTTTCTGTGTTGAGTTTGTTTTTAGATTGCTGAAATCTGTGCACAGCTTGTGATTTCATCCAATGTGTAACTGGTTTAACTAATACAGCCATACTAATGTGCATGTTTAGCACATTTCAGACAATCTCAAAGTTTCAGAATGAAGCCTCACAAAACTCCTGAGAAAAAGGACAGTATTTTATTACTGCTCACAATAGATGGACAGAGGATTTAAAGGAATTTTATTAAAAATTATTACTGAGGCACAGAGGATTTAAAGGAATTTGCCCAAGGCCACATAGCAGGTTAGTAGCTGAGTCTTGATTGTCATTCTCCTCCATACCCTTGGACAACACAGTAAATTAGCATCAGCAAAAGACAGTTCACTGGGGGGGAGGTTTTAAGCAATTCCCTCTTAATGTTTACCTAACCACTTTTCTTCCAGTATAGCTGTGAAGAAGTTCCAGAGTTTTGCTACTCATACAGAGAATCTAACCCAAACAACTCTTTATATTGTTGTTACTTTTTTATCAGACAGAAACTGCACACATAGCTGCATAACAGTGACATCTTCTGGAAACCAACCAACCAACCAAGACTGGGAAGAATAATCAGTGTAGTCAATAGCTTCTCGTGCATCTAAAACAATGGCTGTGTCTAGAGTGGCCAGTTTTTCTGGAAAATCAGCCGCTTTTCCAGAAAAACTTGCCAGCTGTCTACACTGGCTGCTTGAATTTCCGCAAAAACACTGACTTCCTACTGTCTGAAATCAGTGCTTCTTGCAGAAATACTATTCTGCTCCCGTTCGGGCAAAAGTCCCTTTTATGCAAAACTTTTGCGCAAAAGGGCCAGTGTAAACAGCTGAGATTTGTTTTCCTCAAAAAAGCCCCGATCGCGAAAATGGCGATCAAGGCTTTTTTGCGGAAAAGCACGTCTAGATTGGCACGGACGCTTTTCCGCAAAAAGTGCTTTTGCGGAAAAGCATCCGGGCCAATCTTTACTCTCTGTTCCGAAAATGCTTTTAACGGAAAACTTTTCCGTTAAAAGCATTTCCGGAAAATAATGCCAATCTAGACGCAGCCGTTTTGTTTGGCTGAACTGAAGGAAACTTGGGCAAATGTGGGCATATTTGTTTTATTATTTTTTCTTCATACCAAAAAGGACTAGATTGCCTTCCTAGATGCTTTCTTTAAAAAACAAACCAAATCACTGTTTCACTGTGCAACATCAATCTAAAATCATCTTTGTTCTTGAAATACACGTTAATACAAACACAAGCTGCCAAGTGACAAGGGTCAAGAAGCAACCTTTGCTGTTAGAAGCTTTTGGATCAAGTCCAGTCTCCTCTGCTTAGCTGGTTGTCAGTCCACATTACTTGAGGATTATTTATTTATTTGGTTGGTTGGTTTCTAATTTCTGGAGCCAGCCAGGGTGATTCCAGACAAGGAAAGTAGTTGTTTAAGAAACCATATTTGATCATCTGCCTTCTACACTCTGGCCTGAAACTCAGCTGGGTTGTTGGGGGGTTGTTGGGGGTTTGTTACCTATAACATCTGTAGTCATTTGCAGCAGCATCTATTGGTTACTTTCATTTGAATATCCAGTGGGACTAGTGGAAAGGTTTTAGGCTTTATTCCAAAGGA